TGTATGTATGTATGACTTGATGGCTGGTTGGAAGTATTTATTTGTTTATGTAGATTTGTTTGTATGCGTGCTTGTATGTGTGTACGTATGTGTGTATATAAATATGTATGTTAGATTTTTTCGTTTTTCTTTTGTATGTGTGTCTAGGTGTGTTTGTGTGTGTGTGTGTGTGAATATTTGTGTATGTGTGTACTTTACTTTTGTTTGCTATAGCACAAACACACACAAACATACGCACGCACACAAACATACACACACACACACGCACGTACACACACACGCACACACACACACGTGTATGGCAAATGTAATGTTAACTGCATCGCATGGAAAAACATCAACAAAAACATCGGTAACATGAATAATAACAACAATAACGCAGTAATAATAAAAACAACAATAATAATAATAAGAGGAAGAAGAAGAAAACAGAAGGAAAAGATGAAGAAGGAGAAGAAGAAGAAGAAGAAGAAGAAGAAGAAGAGGAAGATGATGATGATGAAGAAGGAGAAGGAGAAGAAGAAGAATAACAACAACACAAAACATCAGCGGGCAGCATTACATTGCAAAACTTTTCTCCACTTTCTGCCTTTCTGTATACACTCATACATATACTTATACATATACATATACTGTATACAAACATACTTACATATACATACAAACATATATACAAATATATATACAAACATATATACATGTGTTTTTACATACATACATATATGTATACATACATACATATATATTTACGTACATATACATTTATAAATACAGACTCACATACATAAATACACACGAGCACATGTTCAACAATATACATTTATGTGTACATACATACATACATATACATACATACACACATACATACACACAAACACATATTTATATTTTATAAACACGCACACACACACACACACACACATATGTGTGTATGTATATATTGTTGGTATATGTATGTGTGTATGTATCTATATAGAACTAACTGTGTGCGTATCGTACCCGTGTGTGTGTGTATACAAAAGTATGTAAGAATGTTGGTGTGTATGCAAGTATGTTGTTAAACTTTTCCAAGTAATTCCTACTGCTCTTCTTGCTTTGTTGGAAGCTTTTGGTGAGTTACATAGTTGGATAGTTAATTGGTTGGCTGGTTGGATGGTTGGATGGTTGGTTGGTTGGTTGGTTGGTTGGTTGATTGGTTGGTTGGTTGGATGATTTGAAAGTTGGTTGGTTGATTGGTTGGTATGTTTGTTAGTTGGTTGATTGATTGATTTGGTTGTTTGTTGCTTTTCAAGATTTTTTTAAAAATAATTTGATCAAACTATTTCCAATTTTCTTAATTTGTTTTTTAGTTATCTTTCTTCTGAAAACTGCTAGTATTTTTATGATTTACTTGAAAAAAATAATAATTGGTTTTTACGGTTTCGAAGTACCGTTCTATTTTATCAAGTTATCAAAAATTTATTTCTAATTGTTGCTAACTTCATCTTATTCCCGATGGATATTTTTTAAAATATCAATCATTAACTTATTTATTTATTTATATCTTCGTTCGTTCATTCGTTCGTTCATTCGTTTGTTTGTTTGTTCATTCATTCATTCAACGCTCGTTATTTCATTCTTTTGTTCATTCATTCAATCATTGAATAAATTCGTCGTTCATTTGTTCATTTTATTGCCTTTGTTTTCGTTCATTCGTTCGTTCATTCATACGTGCACGTTCGTTCGTTCATTCATACGTGCACGTTCGTTCGTTCATTTATATGTTCATGCCGTTTGCTCGTTCGCTTGTTCATTCGTTCATCCGTAATTCTTTTCAGCTCCTGAAATCTGTCGAAGGAAAGTTTTTTAATCTCCGTCACCGACATCAACTGCAGTAGCAGCAACACAGACAGACAAACAAACAAAAGAAAAACAACAAAAAACCGGAAACGGAAATACTTTTTTTTGTAATAAATAAGGAGAAAATAATTACACAACAAATTCAAAATGGCGACGAACACAATGGATGCTATAAAGAAGAAGATGCAGGTCATGAAGACGGAAAAGGATCAAGCCCTCGTCAGAGCTGACCAATTAGAGGAGAAGGTTTCCGAACAAAAAGCGCTAAACGAGAAGGTAATGATAATATGGCCTACTCATTAACATAATTTTCACGCATCTCATTATCATAATGTAAAATATCGATTCATTATTCACTATTATCAGGCTATTAACGTTATCATTATGATGGCAGTTAGCGTTATTATCCTCATTAACATAATCATCCTCGTTAACATAATTTAAACATTTTTTGACGTCACCATCAGCAAGAGGAGGAAATCCAAAACCTTCAGAAGCAGATTCAGCAGCTTGAAGGTGACCTTGACACTGCTCAGACCCAGTTGGCCGAAGCTACCAGCAAGCTAGAGAGCACGGAGAAACAGCTTGGAAATGTATGTTTGTGTTTGTTTGTGTGTGTGTTTGTGTGTGTGTGTGCGTGCGTGCGTGTGTGTGTGTGTGTGTGCGTGTGTGTGTGTGTGTGTGTGTGTGTGTGTGTGTGTGTGTGTGTGTGTGTGTGTGTGTGTGTGTGTGTGTGTTGGTAATTTGATTGTTGTTACCAAAAAAATAATCTAGAGATAGGCTGGTTGATCTCATTTAATTTCTATCCTCTCTTCTTCCTCTTACCTCCACTCTCTCTTGCCTTTTATTTTCTTACACTTCTTTTCCTCTTTTTTTATTCTTCTTTTTTATTTACTTTTTTGTTCTACCTTTCAACATACACGATCTCTCTCTCTCTCTCTCTCTCTATCTCTCTTTTTCTCTTTCACTCACACACACACACGTTCTCACTTTTCAAGTCCTCTCACCTTTTTTTTCTCATTGTCTCTCTCTTCCCCCACCCCTCTAAAAGGCTGAGTCAGACGTCGGAGCGCTGACAAGAAGAATTCAGCTCTTGGAGGTCGACTATGAGCAGACAGCCTCTAGGCTGGAGATCGCTTCTGAGAAGTTGGAGGAAGCTTCCAAACACGCCGAAGAAAGCGAGAAGTAATTATACAACTATAATAATTATCATTATTTCATAATTATAATCATAATAAATAATAATAATAATAATAATGGGAACATTCTTTTATTGACCGAAAGAATAAAATCCAAATGAAATCGATTGAAAATTATTAATTATATATCAGAGTGTAAATAAATAAGATGTAGAATACAATGTTCGATCCTCTCCTGCTCCCTGATCAGCAAGTGCTTGAGAGTAAAAAAAATTATCTTATAATAATAATAATGATGATAATGATAATAATAATAATAATTATTATTATTATTATAATAATAATAATATGATAGGAACCGCAAATCTTTGGAAACGAACTCCCTGATGAATGACGAGAGGATCACCTTTCTAGAGGAACAACTGAAGGAGGCTAAGTACATCGCTGAAGACGCCGGAAGTAAATTGGAGGAGGTATTCCTTCATTCACTCATTCATTCATTCATTTACTCATTCATTCATTTGTTCATTCATTCATTCATTTGTTTATTTGTTTGATCGTGCGTTCGTTCATTCATGCAATGCCAAAAATGCTGAAAAAAGTAGAAGAGGTATCGTTCATTCGTTCGTTCGTTTTCTTGTTCGTTTGTTCATTCGTTCATTCATTCATTCTTTCATTCAGGCCGCAAGGAAGCTCGCCATCGCAGAAGGGACCCTTGAAAGTTTTGAGAGCCGACTCGACGCTTCGGAATCGTTAGATCATAATTTTTTTTTAATTACGAAAATAATTATACAAATAATTATAATGATGAAAATTATTATTATAGCAAATCAGTTAATCAATCAATTAATCCAACCAATCATTCAATCAATCAACCAATCAACCCTTCAACTAATCAACCCTTCAACCCTTCAACCAATCAACCCTTCAACCAATCAATAAATCAACCTACCATCCAATCAGAAAAATCACCGAGCTGGAAGATGAATTGAAAGAAGTTGGCAATAACATGAAGACCTTGGAACAATCAGAGCAGGAGGTTTTAATTGCGATCTCTTTCTTTCTATCTCCCTCTCTCTCTCTCTCTCTCTCTCTCTTTGTCTTTCTCTCTTTTTTTGGTTTTCTTATATCGTTCTTTCGTTCCGTTTCTTAATAATTCTTTTTTTTCTCATTTTCGGTTTATCTTAAAATATGGAATATTTATAATAATTATTTACAACAATAGCTGATTTTAAAAAAATTAGACAAACCAGTGTAATGTAAGAGAGAGAAAGAGAGAGAGAGAGAGAAAGAGAGAAAGAAAGAGAGAGAGAGAAAGAAAGAAAAAGAGAGAGAAAAAGAGAGAGACAGGGTAAATAAGAAAAATAAAAACAACAACAATCATAACAATAATAAAAATGAAATTTTCCAGGCTTTGCAAAGAGAGGATAGTTATGAAGAAACAATCCGAGATCTGACAGTCCGCTTAAAGGATGTAAGTTTTTCATTTTTTTACTGATTCATTCATCCATTTAGTCATTCATTCGTTTGTTCATTTATTTATTCGTTCATTCGTTCATTCATACATTCATTCAAGACTGAGAACAAAGCCTCTGAAGCAGAAAGAACCGTTTCGAAATTGCAAAAGGAGATAGACAGATTAGAAGGTTTGTTCCCCATCAATCATTCATTCATTCATTCATTCATTCATTCTTTTGTTCATTTGTTTATTTTTTTATCAATTCATTATTATTTTAGTTTTTTTTTATTTATTCATTCAGTCGTTCTTTTATTTCTTTATTAGCACATTCATTTATTAATCATTCCATCGTTCGTTCTTTCTTTCACTCATTCATTCATTCCCTCACTCGCAAAAATAATTTTAACCATAACTATAATTGAAATCATAATAATAGTTATAATTATAATTGAGATCGTAATTAATTTGACAGACGAATTGCTGGCGGAGAAAGAGAAGTACAAAGACATCAGCGAGGAACTGGATGGAACATTCTCAGAGCTGGCATCCTTCTAATTCGGCTGCTGTGGTTGCAGCTGCAGCAGCTGCTGTTGTAGCTGCAGCTGATGTTGATGATGATGATTGTGATGATGATGATAATGATTATCCGTGTTATTATTGTTTTAATTATGATGATAATAATAACAAATATGATAATAATTATTTCTTTGAATTACTTCTCGCAGCTTGATTTGTCGTAAGAAAAATTCATAATTTTTGTATCTTCTTTGGAGTTATTTAGTTGAATTTAAATAAAAATATTTCTTTGTCTTGTCAATCAACTGATCAGTTATTCAATCAATCAATCAATCAGTCAATCGATCGATCGATCAATCAATCAATCAATCAATCAATCAATCAATCAGTCAATCAATCAATCAATCAATCAATCAATCAATCAATCAATCAATCAATCAATCAATCAATCAATCAATCAATCAATCAATCAATCAATCAATCAATCAATCAATCAATCAATCAATCAATCAATCAATCAATCAATCAATCAATCAATCAATCAATCAATCAATCAATCAATCAATCAGTCAATCAATCAACAAACCAACCAATCATACAAAATATTATAACTATAAATTATAAAACGAAGTAATAATATCATAATAACAAAAATAATAACGATAATAATAAAGTTAAACAATAGCGGTGGTTTTTAAATATCATTCATTTTATTACAACGTATATTATTATTAATATATTATACAACAACAACAATAATAATAATTATAATGAAATATTAATAATAATAATAAAAACTATATATATATATATATATATATAAATTTTACATTATGCTAATTCACGGTTTTGAGAATGATCGGTTAAATGATGATAATAATAATAATTATAATAAAATAATAAAAATAATAATGATAATAATAATGAAAAAGAGCAAAATCAGATCTCCATTCAGAAATTTTTTATGCTTTCCTCTCTCTCTCTCTCTCTCTTCTCTCTCTTTCTCTCATTAAAAGATTAATTTCTCTATAATTTCATTATTCTGAGAACGTAATTATAGCCCTAAATATATGCAATTATTATTAATTAATTAATCAATTAATTAATTAAAAACATTTCCATGCCAAAAACGAAAAAAATTTGAAATAAAAAAAGAGAGGGCCAACTCAAAAACTTCAAGCGTTTTAACTAAAACAAACAATTTGAATGCAACACGCACACACATACATACACACACACACGCACACATACACATACACACCTGTGATGGTTATAGAAGCCTTAACTAAAGCATGAAAAACTAGAATGACGTCATTATGAAGTTTTGACGTAACAGGGCGAATATTTAATTATCGGTTAGTTTTGTATATTCGTTTTTTGATTTAATTATAATCGTTATAATAATAATATTAATAAATTAATACTAATAAATAATAAATTATTTTATTATTATTGTTGAAATAATTATTATTGTTATCCGATATTAAACACGTTCGTTTAGTGAAGAATAAATAGATGGAAAAATGTTAAGTTTTAATAAGTTACTGAATGAATAGATGGATGGATTGATGAATGAATGAATGAATGAATGAATGAATGAATGAATGAATGAATGAATGAATGAATAAATGAACGAACGAACTAATGAATGAATAAATGAATGAATGAACGAATGAATAAACGAATGAATGAATGGGTGAATGAACGAAAGGATGAATATATGAATGAATGAATGAGCGAATAAAGGAAGCATTGACACACAAATTTACAACATTTACAATAACCACAACGGCATGGTAATGCATTGTTACCAGAGTGTAAATAGATTTACTTATTGAAAATAGTAGTTCACTTTTACACTCACTATTATCATTATCTGTTATTTTTATTATTTATTATTATTATTATTATTTATTACTATTATTATTATTACTTTTTAATAATTCTTATGCCTTCTAGATGATCTTGATCTGAAAAAAAAATGAAAAAATGATTTTACTACTACTACTACTACTACTACTACTACTACTTCTGCTACTACTACTACTACTTCTACTACTACTAAACTACTGCTGCAACCACTACTACTACTACAACAACAACTATTACTACTACTACAACAAACAACTATTACTACAACTACAGCTACTACTACTACTGTTACTACTACTTCTACTGCCACTACTACTACAGCCACCACAACTACTACAATCAATATAATCTGTCTCATTGCTTATTTTAACACTAGCTCTTAACCTGATTTGTCCCGCGAGCAGTGGGTTCAAAGCGTACAGCCAATCATAGAAGTCCTTATCGTCGAGGGATTGGACCAACGAAGCTCGCTGATTGGTCACCACGAGAAATGTATTTGGGGTCTGGTTTATAAATATTAATTAAATTATAATTGAATATATAAGTAAATGAATGATTGAATGAATGGATGAATGAATGAATGATTGAATGAACAGAAAATAAACCTTAATCATAGCTTGGGTCTCATCACTGAATTCGATCTTACTAACAGACAAATTGATCAACCCCCTCTCCACCTTATCTCTCTCGCTCTTGTACAAAAAGACAAATGGCCTACGTACGACCTGCATAATTATTATTGTAATTATAATTATAATATTTTAATTATAATTATATTATTGTAATCCTTCTCTTTCTTTTCCTTTCTCTCTCTCTTTCTCTCTCTGTATATATATATATATATATATATATATATTTATTTATTTATATTTATATATATACATGTTATATATATATATATATATATAATATTGGATGAATTTTACCGAATTAATGCAATGCATTTTAACATTCACACGTATATCAATAAATATATAAATATATATATATATATATATATATATATGTGTGTGTGTGTGTGTGTGTGTGTGTGTGTGTGTGTGTGTGTGTGTGTGTGTGTGTGTGTGTGTGTGTGTGTGTTAAAACAGGTAAGCAAATTAAGTTCTAAAAATATTTCACGATGAGTTAGCAAATTTAGAGGCATGAAGCAAGCAGTTTAATAAAAGATAATATAACGTCTGATTAATCAGAGGATATAATGCTTTGTATAATAAGAATGAGGTGACATACAAAAGGATTGACTGGTTGGAAGGAGTTAGACAACTAGTTAAGCTCAAGAGAGCAAGGTCTCCTGGTATATAATAGGCGAGCACATAAGTGTTAAAGTTAGTCAGAGTTATCTCTTTAACACGCTTCTAACTCCTGAACACTACTTATAAACTTTTACACATTATCATTTGCGTTGCATCTCTCTATATTTCAATTCTCAGTTTTAAGTTTAGTTATTCTACTTCGTTAAGACATATTTAGTTGCGATCAAACAATGAAATTATTATCAACAATAATGGCCGAGTCGTTTCTCGTTCAATTTCGATTATAAAATTTTATAACTTTTTAATCACTAACTAATACTCAACACACCCAAGTCGTCAATTGAAGTCATTTCTCATTACACTCATTATTTTACGTAAAATTTCGAGTTATTTAACTTTGAGCGAGCGAGTTTACAGAAACAGAAATTTCCCCAAGAACAAACTATGTTGTTGTTTGTTCGCTGGCCGTCTTAGAATGATGAAGAGCGAGCAGTATAACAATATGTGTATATCAATCAATCAATTAATTAACAAATTAATTAATCAATCAATTATTCAGTCAGTCAGTCAGCCAGCCAGCCCTTCAACTAACTAAACAACCAACCGACCGACCGACCGACCAGCCAATCCTGAAACTACTCACCACCCATTTCTTGATCCATCCCTGATTGGCCCCACCCATGAAGAGCAAGTATCCCTTGCGAGAGATCACGTGACTGATCCTGACCTCGTAGATATCCGGGAGAAATTGATTTCCGTCAACTGCTGAACTTCCGTCGAATAAATCGTCGCCAAGTGTCAGGCCGGCTGCAGCGTTCGCCAGATTGTCCGAGGAAGTGGATTTTTTGCGGGGCTCACCCCTGTCGAAGGAAAATTTTTTGGGGGGTCATTTTGTGGGAAGATTTTTAAGTTTTTTGTGGTGACTTGTTTTAGTTGCTTGCTTGCTTGATTGGTTGATTGATTGATTGATTGGTTGATTGACTGATTGATTGGTTGGTTGGTTGATTGATTGATTGATTGAACATAAATACACTCGAGAAAGAAACAAATGAATAAATATAGGAAAGTGTACAACACCGTTAACATAAACAGAGCGTACATCAACATCAATATAGCATACAACATTTAAGAACTAAATAATCCATAAAAACCGATAAAAATTTACATGTAAAATTATTAACAATGTGACAATGTGGTAAAATAATTTAATCGGAGCCAAATTTACGGGTGCAAATGACCCTGGCAAAAATAGGGAACCCCCTAATTATTTCATGTATGGGTCTCTTAATTATTTCTGGTACCCCAAAAAAATTTACTGGATGTAACTTAAACTTTTCAACTTCCAACGACAACATTCTCAACATGACTGTAAATAATTTTCTTGTAAAAAAAATTATTGATGATTGATTAATTGATAGATAGATAGATTGATTGATTGTTTAATTGATTGATTGATTATTAGATTGATTTGATGATTGATTGATAGAGAATTTTGCGTGGGCCCCACCTTAAATCCAGCCCTGTATGTCAGGGGTGGGCAAACTACGGCTCGAGGGTCGAAAAAAGCGGCCCTTCAAAGGTAAAATATTTCTCAATGCGGCCCTCACCGCAAAAATGTTTGCCCAACCCTGCTCTAATAGCAGGACGATTATATTACAATATGAAGTACACACAATACTGCAAATAAAAAAGCGACTGGCACTTGAAAATTAACAAAACAAAATTTTATTCCAACTGAAATCAATAAAATAAAACAATTTTTTGATAAATTTATTTGTAAAATTATCAAACATTATTAATTATTAGTTATTAAAAACAAAAAAAATAAATTTTTTGTTGTTGTCTTTTTCCGATTTAACATGCCACGATAATAAGAGAGGGTGATGGTAAATGGTAAATAATTAAGAGCCATGAATTGGACG